ATGTTTGGCTCTTTAGAAAGTAAGGCACATGAAAAAAAATAGTGGGAAAACACTACTTCTAAAAAGACTCTAAGCATTTTTCTAATAGGTCTTGTGTAAAATATGTTGCAGCTGCTGAGCACATGGTACGTCAGAAGCTTGGACTGGTGCTCCTTTGGGATGTCTCGCACAATTTGCTCTTGGATTTTTTTTCCAATACAGATCACTGAGATTTCCCGGAAAAGCAAATTACCTCTTAAAAAAGGGAAGGGAGTAGAGGCTATTGTTAAGTTTTCCTTTATTGCTAAAGCAAATAACAGTGGTGTAAATGGTTACACTGGATGGTCAATTCAATTGAATTTAAATCAGCAGAAAACCCAGAGCACTCGCAAAGAGGTTTCATGAATGCAGTTCAGGATTGTAAAGAAGCACAGGAGCTGTTTCTACCACCTTTTCTGTTTTTAAGCTGTAGGCCTTCCTTGAACTTTACTGCTGGCTTCTGAGGACCATCCGGTCTGCTCAGATCTACCAGGCTGAGAGAAGGCATGACACGATGTACAAATATCAGACATCTGGTTGGGACACTGATTGAGACCCTCTCTTTCTACTCTGCCCTCAGCTGCCTTAATGTACGAGGTAGGTATTGCTGAGCAGTTGCATGGTGCTCTTTGTTCAGCTCACAGTAACGTCCTTTCCTGAAAGGCAACAGGATAAGATGACATAGCAGCTCTGGTGTAGGCAGGTACAGTCAGGCCACTCATGGATCACTGTCCCTCTCCCTCTCTGGCAGACTTTGGCCTATGGAAGCCTCTTCTGCTCTTTGAACACTGACTGACGTATTGCTTGAGCAGAAGCACCAAGATCCACATTTTGAGCTCCAGGGTTTTGTCTTCTCTTCCTATGCTGCGCCCTCTTAAAACATTTTTATGAGAACAAAGAAGTACATGGCTTCATCAATACATTTTAAACAGAAAGAATAAACAGGTAGACACAGATATATATATAGAATCACAGAATTTCTCAGGTCATGGTGGAATGATCAAGTCCAACCACAGCCTAACCATACTACCCTAACTCTAACAACCCTCTGCTAAATCATGTCCCTGGGCACCACATCCAAATGGCTTTTAAACACATCTAGAGATGGTGACTCAACCACCTCCCTGGGCAGCCTATTCCACTGCTTAACAACCATTTCTGTAAAGAAGTGTTTCCTGATATCCAATCTACTCTTACCCTGGTACAGCTTGAGGCCATTTCCCCTCATCCTGTCACCAGTGAGAAGAGACCAGCCCCGCTCTTGCTGTGAGCACCTTTCAGATACTGGAAGAGAGCAATAAGGTCTCCCCTCACCCTCCTTTTCCCCAGACTAAACAGCCGCAGTTCCTTCAGTCACTGTATCACACATCTTCCAGCCTTTAGTTGTTGGGTTTGTCTTTCTTTCATGCTAACTGCAGAGACAAGGGGCAGCCTGCCTGTGAAAGTCCTTATCACGAACAGCACTGTACTATTTTCAGTACTGTCACTGATTTTTCTGGTGAAGACATCCTGGGAGTGAGATTGTCGTGACATATAAGTGACTCAGGAAAGAAACAGACAGAGAAACCACCCACCTTCAAAGCAAATGCACCAGAGTCCTAATTGCAATTAAGAAAACAACTCCAGAATGCTGTCATCATTGGATGCTTCCAATTCCATCCTCCTTTTCCAAAACATTGCCTAATCACTAAAATGCACGAGCCATAATGTGGGGAGATGAAGGAATAGGTTGTTAGCCATCAGTGGAGGAACTGGTGATACAGAAAATGTGAGCAAATCATCAAGGAACAGTAGCTAGGGTTGGATTAGAGTCCAGAGATCTCAGAATCATCTCTTTGATCAACTGTTGATAATTGTAGGAGGATTTCCTCTGTACCAAAGTACAGTGACAAAAAGGGGAGAAAACACTCCTCCATTTGAGACACTGTGATTCTGTGTGGGTCAGTGACTAAAATTATGTTGATTGGTGAACACAACTGGAAGCCAGTGTTGTTTAAGGGACCTGTCAAGACACTCTTTGATTCTCTATTGTGCCTAGGTTTCCTCAACAAGATTTTGAGGCTTGAGCTGAACATTAGCGTTCTGTGCACATTTTACAGTAAAAAAACAACTTTTTCATATCCAATCCAAATCTCCTCTCCTTTAGTTTGAAATCATTTCCCCTCATCCTATTGCAACAGGCCCTGCTAAAGAGTCTGTCTTTGTCTTTCCGTAGCTCCTCTTTTAATACTGAAAGGCCACTCTCGGGTCATCTCAGAGCCTTCTCCATGCTGAACAGCCCCAGCTGTCTCAGCCTGTCCTCATAGGGGAGGTGTTCCATCCCTCGGATAACTTTTGTGACCCTCCTCTGGATGTGCAACAGATTCACATCTCTCCCATACTGAGGAATCCATATCTGGACGCAGTTCTCCAGGTGACGTCTCACAAGTGCAGAAAGAAGGGCAGGATCACCTCCCTCGACCTGATGTGTTCCATTAGAGTGTGCAGCCAAAAAGTCCCTACTGGAGCTCCACAGGCCAATACCAGGGCCTGCCAGGGACTTCCTCACTGTTACTGGGTGCTGTGCCAGGCATACCATGGCAGCATCAAAGCTCAACACGGGGGTAAGTGGCTATGCTCACCCACTTTCAGGTATCGATAGACTATTTTGCAGAATTTAGTCACTGTTCCAAATGGCTTTCAGTTGAGTTTGGCTCTTAGTTAATGCTTGTCATCAAGGAGGTGCATTTAACCCTGCACCACATTTAACCTTACACCAAACCCTGGGTAGAATTTGGTGACTGCATTACTCCTGCCCTCCTCAGAGAAGAAAACTGTGAGAGCTCTCTGAAGCCTCTCAGAGCTAGCAATTTCATTCTCTTTCCTTGCATAAATATAATCCAAGCTAGAAGTTGTCAGAAGATCCTGCCATTTTGAAATTAATGAGTAAAACAGTACCAAAGGTACGTGACTTTGAGTTTTCCCTTGGACAGCATGACAGGCAGTCTTGCACCTGGGTCAAGGCAACTCCCATTACCAATACAACTGGGGGATGAAAGAACTGAGTGCAGCGCTGCTGAAAAAGACCTGGGGTACTGGTGGATGAGAAGCTAGACATGAGCCAGCAGTGTGCCCTCACAGCCCAGAAAGCCAACTGTATCTTGAGCTGCATCGAAAGAAGCGTGTACAGCAGAGCAAGAGAGGTGATCTGCCCCTCTGCTCTGTGCTAGTGAGGCCTCACCTGGAGTATTGTATCCAGATGTGGAGTTCTCAGTACACGAGAGATATAGACCCGTTGGGTCACATCCAGAGGAGGGCCACAAAAATGATCCATGGAATGGAACACCTCTCTCATGAGAGAGCAGGGGATGATCAGCCTGAAGAAGGCTCCAATGTGACCTGATAGCATCCTTTCAGTATCTAAGGGGGAGCTATGGAAAAGAAGAGTCTTTAGCAGGGTCTGTGGTGACAGAAGAAGGGGAAATAGCTTCAGGCTCAGAAGGGTAGATTTATGTTAGATATAAAGAAAAAATCTTCTACAGTGAGGGTAGTGAGGCACTGGAACAGGTTGCCTGGTGATGTGGTTGATGCTCCATCCTAAGACACTTTCAAGGTGAGGCTGGATCAGGCCCTGGGCAACCTGATGTAGCTGTGGTGTCCCTGTTCACTGCAGGGAAGTTGGACTAGATGGCCTTCAGAAGTTCCTTCCAACTCTAAGGATCTATAATTCTATAATTTCTAACATGGTACTCAGAAAAAAGATCCTTATCCTCTTATGTAGTTGAGAAATTATTGGAATAGCACAAAGTGAAGTAAAAGTGCTCTGCATCTTGTCACAGCCATGAGAATTTGGGTTCAAATACCCTCAATGTTCTTAGGTCATGCTGTGGAAGATATATCCCTTATCAAATAGTCCTTTTTCTTTCTTTCACCATGTCAATATAGAGACAGATCACCCTTGATTCTTCATAGGTGGTTTATCTATGCTGGGGACTAGTGAGTCTGGGGGTGTTTTTTAGGAGCAGCACTGGTCTGGAACCAGAGCAGCTTCCTTTGCTGCCCTGTGCATGTGTCCATGGGCAGCTATGTTCCTGGTCTCTTTTTCTTTTAAATATTTCCTATACCTTTAAACAACTTGACCTCTATCCATTTGGTCTAACTTCAGGCTTTTCTTTTTGGGGTCAATTTCTCCTTTTCTCATTTATCTCATTCACAAATGAGACATGGGGAGTAGGCAGAGCAACCTTATTTGCAGGGATTGTGCTGCAGCAGTCTGACAGCTGCCCAGCAGATACACAAGGGAAGCTAAATGGCCATAGCCAGGTGCTGTCAGGGAAGATGCAGGAGTCTGGCAATCATCCATTAGGTCTTCGTTAGGTAGGTGCTGCTCTTGTCAAGCAGAGGAAAATGATATTTAAAAAAAAAATTTTAAGCAAAAATTTTCAGTCAAAAATATTTTCTAAGTAAAAGTTCCTTTTGCAGATTTTGTAGCTTTTTTTATCCTAGGCATTTAGCTCTTGGACTCTTCCAGCACTAAGTGCTGATAGCTTTGCTCTGGATCAACAAACTGTGAGGGAAAGGTACTTATATATGTGTGGGTTCAAGAAAAGAGCCAGCAACATCTCTAGCAGGAAATCTCCACTTGTCCAAGATCATGTGTTACCTGCCCCCATAATGCCACAGGGGAAAACTTCCCAAGGGCATGTCAGAAAAAGCTCCTCTTCGGCCTGAAAAGAAATGCCCAAACATTTACATACATTCTGCAAAAATACTGGCCTCTTTGGAAAGCCTCTGTTTGATATGCCTCAATGTGCAATGTGCTTCTCTTCACCTCCGTGTGCTAACAACCCAGATAGCCCACCAGCATATAAAATGTTCTCAGATTCCTAGAGGAAAGAGAGACTTCTCAGGCACACCAATGTAGCAACACTTCCATAGAAAATAGCAAGACCAAGTTACAGTGAGCTATCTCCTGTAATTTGGAAACCACAGCTTGACTGTACCTGCTGGAAAGTGTGTGTCCTTCTTGGGAGGAACTACAAACACCAGAACGTGAGTGGTCATCTTCACCAAGCTCCTCATGCTGAAGCAAGATGCCCCAGTAGACATTTTGCTCATTTGCAAAGCAAAGCCTAGCGTTGACTGTGACCCAAACATTATCCCTCGTCACGAGAGTTGAGAGTTTGCTCCAGCAAGGTCAAGAAAAAGAGATGTTGGTAGTATACCCTTTTGCTGAGATTCAGACTATGCTTCAGACAAGATCCAAACCCACTTTTATAATTTCAGCCTTTTCCTGGTGCAAAGTGAGATTAGTATTTACTCAGTCTGTTTCAAAGTAGCAATCTAGTAATCCTTGTAAACTACTTCTGAATTAAGTTCTTTCGCATGTTTGACTCCAAAAATCGCACTCTGAACTTTGATCAAATCTAAATTAAGTAGTGTCACGTACAACGATCCTGTTCTCATCCAAAGCAGGTATGGAGCTTGCTGGTCTGTCTAATCTCATCTCCATTTGCAAACATAACACCAGTGCTGTGGTTTGGGTCATCTTCATGTGGTCGGGCACAGTTGCTAGAAGGAAGGCCTCATACTGTGATGGGGAGGTAGAAGTCTCCCCTAACCAAGAAGGAGCATCTTGTGATTCCCCAACACCTCAAGGAGAAGGATGGGGGATTAGGCTCGTACAAGTTCAACACTTTCAGATGTATCACAGTGTGGGAATCCTTGTTTCATGACACTTGATGAGTCAGCTGTCTTTTGCAAGCTTATCAGTTTAAATCTCTATTTTCCAGTTTCTCAGCAGGGTTTGCTCAATATGAAAACAAACTACACGGGGCATTAACTTGTCTCTCCTGGAGCTGATCCAGCAAAATGTAGAATTGCCAGTGTGTGAGAAAAAATCTTCCCATCAGGAATACTGCTGCCCTGAAAAAAAAAAAATGACTATAGCAAGTACTGGTCTATTAGATTTTTATAATGAATGAGTGTAAGCTTGGTACCAAACTGCCATCAGCACATTTTTGCACAGATCAAACCCTTCAAGAGAACATTTCAAGATACACTGAAGTTTAGGCTTTGCTAATTCAAAATTCAAAAGCAAATTTCCCTGGGGTTTCACCAATGGCTTCAACTTTATTGAACGAACCTGGCTGATGGACCTGTTTGTACAAAAATAAAGGAAACATCTCACTTTTTACACAGAATTAGAGAGTTACATCTCTAGGTTCAGGCTCGAGATCAAGTCATGGCTAGTATGAAATCAATTAACTTGGAATCTTCGGCCAGTGGCACGTGCAAAGTGAAATCTCTTTCACTGGGAGTTAAGGTAAGTTATCAGAATACCTTATATTTGTCAAAGGCTGAAAGTGCACACATGAACAATATCTTCTTCTGTTTCTGTTTAGTAATATTGTAGTTTGAGATTTTGCAAATCTGTTAGCTGCTTGCAATGACAAAATCACATCTCATAGAAAAGAAGCATTCAGACATTTCACGAATAAAGAGATCCACACAGTCCCATCTCTCCCCAATTCATTGATGTTTCTGCAGTTGTGATGTTGTACTGAATAACAACAATTATTCAAAGTTTTAGTTCTTTGCATTTGAAGTTTTGATGCATTATTGCTGATTGCATTAACCACATAAACACCTTGTGTTAATAATTTCAGATTCTGGGTATGTATTCACAGTGGGTTTTCCCATTTTACCATTAGAGAGCAGCCCATGCAGGAGGGAAGCACATACAGACACTGCTATCAGCTGCCCCATGGCCAGTCAGGGACAATGCTGTGTTCCCAGGTGTTTCACTGACACCAAGGTCTGAGTTCCCTGATGCATCCTTCCTCTCTCTCATACTCTTTCTTTTCCCATCCAGTATCCAACACATGAAGAATGAATGTGCTCTGGGCAGAAAGCCTCTGACAACATGCTGCCTTACTCAGACAGTGGAAAGTGTTGAGGTTTTGACACCTTGCTTTGCAACAGTCTCTCAGCAAGTAGTAAAGCCCCATTGACCCCCAAGACAGACAAGCTACTTGACACTTACTGTCTTTTTTTGTTTGCAGTTTATTTCTGCTCACCTCTTAATCATTATCTACTTACCATAACACAGGCCAGTGCTTTATTAAATGGGTTGCCTGTTTGCTCACAAGGCATCCCATATCTGAAACTCCAAGTCTCTGCCTAGAATATAATTCCAGGGCAAAAGCAGAAATAATTTCTCTTTGTTATTGCAAATCCACTGAATAGACACCAATAGCTTTGCCTTTCCCAAAGGAATAAAATGAATTGAATATTTCTTAAGGTAAAAGGCCATTTCAAAGGGTTCATTCCCCTGCTAGCCCTAAGCCAGTAAAATTAAAATGACTCAAGTAAAGTAGTGTAAGATGTGAAATCTTCAGTAAAGGAAAGACGTAGACCTGTTGGAGAGTGTTAAGACAAAGTCCAGCAAAAAATGATTCAAGGGATGGAACAGCTCTCCTATGAGGACAGGCTGGGAGAGCTAGGGCTGTTCAATATGGAGAAGAGAAGGCTCTGGAGAGAGCTGAGAGTGGCCTTTCTGCATTTGAAGGGGGACTGTAAGAAGGGGACAGACTCTTTAGCAGGGTCTGTTATGATAGAATAGGGGAAAATGATTTCAAACTAAAAGAGGAGAGATTTATACTGGATATAAGGAAGAAGTTTTTTACAGTAAAATTGGTGAGGCAGTGGCACAGGTTGCCCAGAGGGCTGGTGGATGCCCCATCCCTGAAGACATTCAAGGTCAGGCTAAACAGGGCTCTGAGCACCTGATGGAGCTGCAGGCATCACTGTTGATGGCAGGGGAGTTGGAGCTGATGGCTTTTAAGGGTCCCTTGCAGCTGAACATCTCTGATTCTATCATTCTCTTACTTTATGGAGGTCTTTGGGTAACCAGGAGCAGAAAGATTTCAGATGAGGCCATTGTTTCCCCTTCAAGGGAAGACTCAGGCTGAAGGTCCTCTTTCCAGAATGGTAGGAGTTTCCCACAAACCAAGGTTCACTCCCAAAAAATGCACAGCTGGTTTTCAGGTTTCTCTGTGTGTTCTGTATGAGGCCCAAGAGAAGGGTGGTCAGGGGAAGCAAAGCACAGAGCACCTACAGAGAGAGCCACCATCATGACACACCCAGAATCCCATGAATCCCATGAGTTTGCTCTTGCCTTGGAATTCCCCCACCCTTGCTGAGGCTACTTCCATCTTTTTATCTATAAGCATGCTCTCTCAGTTCCTCCCATGCTGGAGGATGAAGGAATTTCCCTACATTTCAATTCATTCGATCCAAGACCACACCGTGTGGTGATCTTTCTATCTAATGAGGACGTGTGCTGAAGGTATATTCAAGTCTGGGGGAAGAGAGATCTTGAGGCAGATAAGGCAGCAATACCATGGATATCACCATGTCTAGCCAGAGTCTCATGCATGGTCTGGAAAAATTCAGACAAGTTATCATGGAAGGGACAGACTCTGTTTCTTCAATGCCTTATTGATTGCACTTATGGACCTTGTGGAAAAAGATCTTCTGCAAAAAAATCCTCGCAGACCATCACTTTATTGAAGAATTTTTTTCTGATAAACTTCAGCCAGGATTTCAGCCTCTCTTCTAGCACAAGTCTCTATTTCAAAGCTGACAGCTCAGTTGATTTGCCTACAGCAGTATTATTTCCAGCTCCCTACAGAGTCTGAAGCATCAGCACAGAGATATGGCTTGCTCTTCTGGAGATGCATCTGGAAGCCATGCCAGAAACCTGGAGGTGTCTTGGATTGCTCTGCTTACTTAGGTTTAAACAACTGAATCAGGTCTGTGGCATGTATGCAACGGACACCTTGCCTACGGCGTGATGTAGAGTGCCAGCCTCATGCTCAACTATCTACAACCTCAGTTCAGTAAAATTAACCAGAGGTGTTCACATGCTTTGGAAGAATGATAAAGTTACTTTTAGGGTGTGCAAGCCACACTTGCACTAAGGCAGCAGAAAGTGCAGTAGGTTCAAGGGTCCCCATTTAAGGGCAAACCAACAAACCTGAAATCTAAGCACATATGGAGCACAGAAAAATACAGGGACAGGTTGCTGGGCTTGGAGCTGTAGGCTGATGCAGCAACCTCTGCTTTGGTTTCTCTCACTAGTGGGTTTACTTCAAAGACATTGATGCTATTTTAGTAGGTTGCCTTATATTTATTTCTCCTTTTTATCTGTGTGATGAGTTAAAAAATGCCATATGCCTGTTTTTATGTTCCTTGGGCTTCACCCCCACGCACACCCCATGCACACACACACACACACAGCTTCCAGTTGACTAAGGAATGTTAAACATTTATCTGCGGCTCAGCACAGCCACTGATATAGCAAAGCATACATCCAGTGTGGGTGTACCGAGAGATATAGATGCCATATGGAAACTACATCTGACATGTATGGTTTGGGACAAATGGGAAAGAAATCTGTGCCACTCACACTTACCATGCAAAGAGTGTTGTTTTTTTTTTTTTTCTGAAAATCTCAAGTTGTTTTGACTTTATATGTCTCTGATGCACAAAAATGCAGACACTGGCTTGTCATCAGAACAGAGCCAGAGGGGGAGATGGGGACCAAGCGTGGCATGGAGAGAGAATTGGTCGCCCTCAGCCTCCTCCCCTTGCCCACATTTGCAAATGGGTTGGACCCAGCCTAAGGAGGCAGCTGTGTTACGCCCACCCACCGACTGGCAGCTCCGAGACGGCATTCCCATGACTGCCAGGAAAGAGCTGGCTGCCATCCTGCCTCCCAGAGCTCCCTCCCTCAGGGGACAACATACACCTCACCTTCTGAAAACTGAATTCCCTGATTCTTTATTCAGCCAAGCGATGGCTGATAGGCAAAGAGAAATCAAGCAGGGCAAGGAGTTTCAGGTGGGTTGAGAAAAAGATAAGTTAGAAAGAGGAATTAATTATACAGATGTTCTGGCGATTAGGGTCACCCGAGTAGGTAGACGAATTTGCACACGGAGGAAATTTTGCTCCAGTGGCAGTAACTTCTCTCTCTGTCCTGTCTCCATTAAGAGCTGGTCTAGACAGTGCATTGCTCCAAGCATTGAGAGGCAGCCGACCTTGGCAGCCCCTCTGCTGCTGATGGCAAGTGGGGATGCACCAGTGCTGATGCAACTTGTTGGGATGTTCAAGACAGGTTCAGCCTCCGGCAGCACTCAGGCTGTCTGTAGGGAGGCTGCTTTCCAGGGGCGGGGAGGAGAAGAGCCAAGATTTATGGAGGAGGCTGGCAGCCGTCCATGGAGAGGTTTGGGAGTGGGAGGCTCCATCACCCATTCTCTATGCAAAGAGACTTGTACTGCAGTCAGTGGAAGGCTGGTTGTACAAAGACCCAAGGGCTGGGCTTGGCAAAGGGAACATGTTGTTCTTCAGTGTGAAATGGATGTGGAGCTGAAAAAGCTGGTGTCAGGAGGAGCTGGGTAGTCATGCTTCTCGGCACATGTGGGAGACATGGGCTGTGGCTCTCCTCTCCAGCCCTGCAAGACCAAAGCTGCAACTGGGGGAATAGTTGATGGATAAATTAATTTGTTTAACCCCTAAAATGCAGCATCTGTCTGGCTGTGGTTGCTCGTCACTAGAGTGAATAATGGAAAAATGTCATAGGTTTTTGCTTCCCAAGCATCAAAGCTATTTCCAGTACTGACAAGCTGCCGTGGGGTGCTGGTGGTGGTAATCCACAGATTAACAAGTCTCTCAGCAACCATCACTTTGTCTCCATTCAGTGGAACTTGAAAACTCTCGCAGTCCCAGGGAAGAGATTTTTTCACTTCTGTCAAAATGGGGGTAGAAAAGGAGGAGGAAGAGGCCAGGGGACAGAAGCAGGCCAAGTTACAAACACAGGGAGGGAGAACTAAAAATGTCCTGCAAAACAAGAGCCGAGGAAC